AAGATGGCGTGAGCAGGGACCAATCACAAGTGCAACCCCCATTTACACATAGCCAACGTTTGCTGCTGTCTCATATTTCCTGACGATGGCATCTCGTGTGGAGCCGAAAGCTCAGAACAATAATATTGCCGTTCCAGAGACCGCGTTTTCTTCTTCTTCTTTACAAAAAGAAAGTGGGGCACGCATATTTGCTCCTATCCGTGAGAACAAAGTCATTATGGTTGCAGTAGCTCGCGGTTTGAACTGAGCAGCGAGGACGAACCGGAGAAAATTTCTGCGGTTGTGCTCAAAACTGTTCGGTTTTCAGACGATCTGCAGTCAGTCTTACCCATAAAATCAGCCCAAGATGCAATTCTCTGAAGAGGTGGACACTGGAATAGGTACTGACCCATATTACAAGTAGTTTTACATTAAATACCAAGTAATTACTTATTTCTCTGTCCTACTACTGGAGGACGAAGGGGAATATTCCCCAGATTGTGGTTGAGAATTCATGTCTAACTTCAGTTAGCCTAGTCCACAACTCGCAGAACTGACAGCGGTGTTGTAGCAATTAAGTGAAAGAGAGGGACAACTTGGAGTCAAACAGCAGCAACAACCCCGCACATCGAACGGATGCGTTGCACGAGTAGACAAGTATATAGGCGGAGCTAGTCTATTTTAATCCCAATATAGCGGGTGACCATGCACGAGAGGAATGACACATAGAGAAGAGGGGAAGAAAGGACCGGAGATGTGAAAGAACTTACTTGACGCTCAGGAGACGGGGTCCGTTTCCATGCCGGTCGATAAGGGCGTGAAGGATCTTCTGCACAAAGACACGAATCGAGGCGTCGGGGTCGACGGCCACACCGTGCAGCAGAAGGCGAAGGAAGTCGTAGTCGATGGCATTTGAGATGGCGCCTGTCTGATACTGGGTGGCCACAGTGAGCATTGTCTTCACCAGGACCTTCACCATGGGTTTTGAATAGTCCTTGGAATTGGAACGGCCACTAAATCAAGGAGCGGAGAGAGAGAAAGCTTGTTAGCTGCAGACAACAGGTAACGTGTATAAAATGACAGCATACTTGGAAACGATGGTGTTCTGATATGGTCTGCTCTTCGGTTGAAACTTGACAGAAGCCAAGATTTGCGAATCGACTGCGCGCGTCGACTGGTGACCACTTCTAGGTTCTAACTATCTTACATCAAGGGAAAATTAGTAAGGATATGGTACGTAGTCAGGGTAGGTTTAATCTACCAGATTCACTACTATATTTATGTAAGTTCATCCTCGTGGTAGGGTTAGGAGCCTGTGCCCTAAGGCTCTACCCATATAATTCCTATTACCACCATTCCGGAAAGACACTTTCCAAGGGTTGTCTGTAGTTGTTGCCGACTAATTATCATATCCTTGCCGACTGACTTACTTTGTATGCAGCAACACAATGGACTCGAGTTTGCCGCAATGAAATTAACAGGAAGCCGGACCACGTGCGACAGCTACTATGCGTTCGTGAGTCATGCAAGTAAAACATCGACTGGAAGCAGGTGAGCAGTCTAGCGTTGTTTATCAAGTGCCATGTCGTGACTGTTCTTGCCATTATACAGGGCAGACCGGGCGATGACTTAGCTCGCGAATAACTAAGCAAAAACGCGAAGTGTGGAAAGGCGACCCACTGTCCCAGATCGCTACCCACTCTCTGGGAGAAGACCACGAATTTGACTTCACGGGCACGCGGATAATGGCACGAGCCAGTAATAAGACTAGGCGAGAACTGCTAGAGGCCTGGATGTCAGACTGCAACTCCATCAACAGGCATGCGGATTTACCACCCTGTTGTTTTGCCCTCCATTCGCGCGACCAACAATCACGGTCCAGCTCGGGTCCAGACATGCACGCCAAGACGATAGGGAGACGGCGTGAGCGTGGACGCAACCAATCATAAATGCCTCCCCCCTCACCTCCCGTTTTCTCATATCA